GACACTTAGTGTTCTTGGTGGTTTGTCACTAAGTGCACTTGAAGATAGTGTGAGGAATAGAGCACGATTGAGTACAATTCAATGGGCTCATAACACATCTTTAATCCCATCACAAAGGAATTCAGCCCCCCTAAAATAGGCCTAACGACGCCCCTGGTCATAACATCCTTACAATGTGATATTTCAGTTCTGTGCTTACAGCGTGTTGCACTGCCCCCAGGTGGCCAAAAGAACCAAATGAATGCAAGTTTTGTATTGGATTTTAGACCAGTTCTTCCAGAAACATTGCATGCCTTTGATGGTTTTTCTCTTTGTCATGTTATAGGTGGGTGAAATTCAAAATGAGTGGTTACAAGAATTGTACACGGTAAGTTTGGGCCTCCTGGATTTTGACTTGCATTAATAAATCACTCTTACATTTAGTATTTCCACTCATCACCTGCAGTGTCTCCCTATTTTGTGGACAATCTGGTGCAGTTCAGGTAAATAACAACTATGTTACATCGTTGGTTCTGGCCCACTTTGTAGGCTTCTGGCAGCGTTACATTGGTGACATCCAAACATACAGAACAGCTCTATGTTCCTCTGGAAAAACAGATGCTTTGTATCAGCAAAGTCACTGATAACGAAGGCACACCACAAGTTAATTCACAGAAAAGCACCACATAACCCCGAATGGACAGTTCACTTCATCCTGTAACACAGTGTTGACCCCCCCCCCCCTCACTCCTCATTGCTCTGTGATGTAAAACCTGTAGACTAAGACCTGTTTGTGCTGCTTTGTTACAGACTATCCACAGCCACAACCCACAGTTCATCGCCCTGCACTTCCAGGAGGTGGGAGGAAAGGACTATATGGTCAACATGGGCCACGCCGAAAACTTCTTTTGGTAGGACTGATGTGCTTCTCATCATCCATGTTGCTCAGTAAAGTCATGTTCGTTGTTCACCATGTGTTTGATATAATCACAAGCTTCTTAAAAGAGTCTAGTCTCTTTTATTTTAATTTTTCCTGCTTTCAGTTATTTTCATTATTGATTTATCTTCCTGATTATTTTCTCCATTCATTGTTTAATTGTCTGATCTATTGAATATAAAACAGTGAAAAATAGCTTGTTTTGGCCACAAAACGTTCCCAAACCCAAAGATATGCAGTTTATAATCACAGAAGATTAAGAACAAACACATTTCACATTTCAGAAGCTACAATCAGCTTAAAACATCACTTCAATCTAATCAATTGATTGACTAACCTCTTCAGCTCTATATCTATATGGCTCTATTGCTTAATGATAGCTCCGTTGTTTGCAGGAACATTGAGTCCAGTGAGAAAATGAAAGACTTTGACAGGGTCTGCATCTATGTGGACAACCAGTTCCAAGCAGAAGACAGCTTCACGGTAAGAAACACACTCAGGTCTGAGTCAGAGTAGTTCACATGTGCTTCCACTAGATGGGGTCCTCCTCCATGTCAATGCTCAGAGGTAGTTGGAGCGGTAGGATGTACCTTGCTGATGCTGATGAGTCCAAAGTAGGAGTTAGTTGCTGGTCAACACTTGAGATAAGAGTGGAACATTTGTAAATACATATGAGTTATTAGATTTTGTATGTTATAAGATCTTAGCAGGGGGGGTTACAAAAGAAGAAAAGCATAAAAACAGAACAAACATGGAAAAAAAATATCATCGGTGAGATTAGAGTACGTAATTAAAGCTTCTCCAATGAATACTTTTGTATCAACAAGGGATAAATGAATATGTGTCATGTTAAAGAAGTCGCTCAGATTGACACTTAGTGTTCTTGGTGGTTTGTCACTAAGTGCACTTGAAGATA